CTCACTAGAAAACACACATTTATGATAGTGGTGGTTCATATTCATTGCTATTTCACCTTGAACTGGATACCTTTGGGGTTCACTTGCTGTTCACCACTTCCCTCTTGTGTTCTTGGAGGGAATAACAGCACCACCAAATTGTGACAATCTCAGAGTGCTAATAGGCTTAGAAGATGTTTCAACTGCTATCTGAATAGAGTAATATTTGCTCTTGATAGCAGCCCAGAAGTCATGCTTAAGCATGCAAGTCCGCACAAACAAAAGTCTAATAAGCCTCACTTGAGACCGTGGAGAGTTCCAGGTCAAGTATAGTGATACACTAGGCTGCATATAGCCATACATAGACCCAGAATAATGCCAGACAGGTGAGGGGTAGATAACCTCAATGTTTGACTGAAGGCACAGACAGACAGAGCTTAAAACAGAGGTGCTCGTCCAAACCTCATCCACAAGGGACCTGGGGCTTTCAATCAAGGTGCCCAGAGTAACCTGCTCAGTGTAGTCTAAGCTATATAGAGAGTGATCATCTATAGATGTATCAGTAAGGTTGTGCCATAACAGAGGAGAGAAGTGCACTTACAACATAGATTGGAATGGATCTGGGAGAGAGAGGCAGAGTTAACTTGTGCAGAGGTGTGCCAAGCACACTGAATCAGCCATAAAAGGCTGAATAGTAAGGTGGGTTTGAGTGCAGAGTAGGAGAACATTGTGGTTCGAGTTCAGAAGTGAGAGGCGCCCAGAGGCTGCCTAGCCAAAGTTCAACTTCAACCACCATCAAACTCCCATGGTCATGTGACCATGTGGAAGGCGCCAAGTTCTTATCTTAGTCGAAAGCAAGACTCGGTGAAGCGCACTTGATTATCACACCCAGAAGTTCAGCAACAAATTATGAATCAGATTGCAAGAGTGTATATCGAGTTGGTCGTAATGAGCGTGGTGGTAGTACAAAGCATTAGTGTGTAAGTAAAGAAAGAATTAGATGATCGTAAAAGAGTCCAGATATCAGTGAGCAGAGGGCAGTGCAGGAGAGTATGGTTCATGATATGTACATAGGGATGTCCACAAGATACCAGAAAAACAAGGTAGGAGAGAGCAAGAGATGCATAGTGGTAGTGGGTATGAGTGTAGCACGACATACATGCACAGGGAGACAACAATCTGTATAAGACAAGAACAAAGACGACACAAGTCTGGTATCAGCATGATGCACATGCACAGGGAGATGACGATCTGCAAAAGACAACCAGCGCACTAGGTGCTCTCCTCAACCGACACATGAGAGGCGATCTTCACTGCACCGCAGAGGTTGAAGCCAATTGAAGGCTTGTCGTCACTGCCACTCTTACTAGAGTAAGAGTTGCAGGTGAAGTAGACGACAGCCAGATCGTGAGGCTGGAGCGGTTCACCACCCTCACTAGGAAGGCAGTGAGGGAGCAACTGAGGCTGGTTGAGGAGATAGCTCTCGACTCTGTCTTCCTTCTGGAAGTGCGCAGTGGCGTCCCAGACTGGGTCTGAAAGCACAAAGTAAGCACTTGAAGCGCTTCAATGTGTGTAATGGAGAACTTACAGGTGGCATCAGGCGAGTGATACGACTTCACCGTGTCACTCAGATCCTTGATGGGATTAGACTGCCGCACAGAGCGACTAGAGGAACCTACTTCCTCGTCGTCCTCATCTGAGCTGAGGTGGATGCTCTTCGCTGCACTCTAAATTAGTCACTGCATCAGTGCAGACAAAAATATGCACTCACGGACAGGACCAGAGATTGACCCTGTGACAAAAGCACCGACTCAGTATCGCAGAGCAAATAGAGCAAGCAACTCACTTTTAGGCCGAGGTGTCATGGTACTTGCACGTTCAGGGTTGTGCAACGCAGAGTGTGCCCATAAGCAACCCTGGCTAACAAGCTCATCATTCTTCAAGAGTGCAGTTTCACCAGTGGCGATCGTTGCTTCCTGGTAGTCCATTGCACGAAGGACAAAAGGACCCAGTTGAGCATTATCAGCCTTGCCGAGCAGCTCAAGGTGAATGCCTTTGCCGTATAACGATGTGGCACCAAACTGGAACTCCCCGTTGTTCTCCGTGTGCGCTCTGATCACCATGCCAACAGCATAGCCAATAGCTATGTTGTTGCCAAGAGCCAGGTTGTCGAAACACAGATAGTATGAGTTAGCCTTGAACTTGGAGACCTTCTTGAAGAACTTAGGGTCGGCGCATCCAATATTGAAGACCTTCATGCCGTCGCCAGTGTTGGCCAACGTCTTGTAAAAGATTACGATTAATGAGGTACGAATGAATTGTTCTTTATGGGGTGGGCTCTGGCTGCGACGCGTGACACCCTTAACTCAACGCCGTGGGAATATATTCCAGACTCTGATTACTCTTCACTAGCACAGCCACTTCCCACGCATAGGTTTGCTACTTACTCCCATCACCCTAGCTCTGGGTTAGGGTCCCCCTGTAGGGTTCCACTAGCGCTGGGTTTGCACTGCCACCTGGGCCCAGCGCTTCACTCCTTTCTACACTTTGTAGTGCCTGTTAGTGTTCACACCTATTCAACAAGACTGAGATGAGCGCTATTTGGGGCTTCAGTCAGACTCTATGTGGACTACTACTATGAATATACTCAAGATTTATAGACATTGATTCAATTTTGAAGGGCTGCTTTCAGAAAAGTGAGGCTTCTGCAAGTTATTAGACGCCCAGTGGCTGTATCGCCCTGCCTCTGCCCATTGCACCTATGCCTGCCTACTAGTAAATCAGATCAATTCCCTATAATGTTGATTATATTTGTGAACCTAGTCCACATAGTACTAGTCTAGATGTCAACAAAGCGCTCATATCAATGCAGTGTTGGAAGCACTGCAAGGTCAATGACATATGGTTCATATGTTGTAACTGTTGGTATGAGCTCAGATGATGTCCGTTTTGGATGGTCTTGAGTGCGTTCGATGTGCATTGATGAGAGGGATCTAATAGGTTATGTCACGTGATTCTGGAAACAGATGCGATGGAATGGTTTGAGTAACACTGCTGCAGCACTATATGTACTGTATATGGCTGATTATAGGCTTGTTTCTGAGCCAATCACTATATATGTAGGTGTATTAGAACACCTCTTTGAAGGGCTACAAGACAGTATATGTTATGTTATGTATTGTGTATTGCAGCTGCTATACTGTAGCAACTACTGCTTGGCAGTGTTGACTGGGTTATAGCGCTGTGCCTGAGAATATGCTTATGTAACATACACCATTCAAACTCCACTTTGAATACGTACTCGTCATAGTTTAAATCATAAGAAACGGACATGAAATGAGCAATAGAGAGTGTAAGCAATGTTCCTAGATGCAATTGCCTAATAAGGTGTGTGAGAAAACTGTTACATAAGCCATAGCAACGCACTCTCATCGCTCCTGCCACTGCTCCTCCTCTCTTGGGGGACTCTCATCCACCCTTCACCTCTGTAGCCTGGCTTTTGGCCAAAGTCAGTGCTCATGAGTGGGAGGATGCCCCCCCCACAGTCCCTGTGCTCCTGTACCATGCCTACTCGGTGCACCGATTTAGAGCGGTGGTCTTGAGCCTGGGATACCTGCGACATTGCCATTTTGGGTGGCCGGGTCGTTGGAGCACAGACCGAGTTCTGTGTGAGATGGATTCAGCACTCTCTTCAACTCTCTGGTAAGCTTTCAGTGTTTATAGGTAGTAGGTAAGTGTTGTTTGTCTAGTTGCTCATCACCATGGTACTTTGACGTCACTATGCCTCCTTCCCATTCTCTATCACCCTTAGAACAATGCCAGATTGCTCCCAGGTGTGTGCTCTTTCTGTAGACCCCCCATTTATCCCCACTTCGCATTTTGGCCCCTCTGTGCACATACTGATGATGTGGGTCGGCACAGCGCCAATGGGCGTCTATTTCAGAGGCGCCCATAGCGCTGCTACATCCATAAGGCCTGTGTGCCATCCATCCCCTTCCCATGGTTGGATCTGCTTCATTTTTGGTAGGTAGGCACTAGTAGCACTACCCACACAATCTATGTACTTCGTTTCATCATGTTGTATCATTTGAGCCTATAACAGCATTTTAGAGCCTGGGACTGGCCACCTAGCCCACCTCAGCGCCTCTAGGCGCCTATTTTCACTCTCAGCCACAGCCACCACTACCAGCTACTGCAAGCCACACCCAGCCACCTAAAATTGTCATCCACAAGCCCAGCTGCAATCCATCCTCTTTTGGTGGGGCTGTGCTACCCAATCTTTGTCAGCTGCCTCTCCCATGCCTCTCCACCATATATGGACACTGTTTGCCACTATTTGCCCCCTTCTGCCCCTGCCACAGCTGCCACAGTGGCTGAAAGTGCAGCTAGGTGCCTGCTTTGAACGCTTTTTTCAAACTCAGCTCAGCTTAGCTGGTACAGCACCTAGGTGGGGGACCCAGGAGCCTTGGGTTCAATCCCTGCCAGTTGCTATGCAGGCCTGGTTGTAACCATGGGTATTCAAGCTTTGTAAAATCCAATCAATTGCCTAAAACCCTGATTATATTCATGAAAGCAGCTACTATAGAGTATGTTACTAATGTGCTTACAGCTTGGCTTTAAACACATTAGATAAGGGACAGTGTAGATATAATCACTGGTGCCTACTAACTTTAGAGAGCTCATGTGACCTCAGTTCTTATCTGTTTGGGGTGATTGTATATGCATCAAAAAGCTATGTAGAAGGCCTACATGACTGCAACCCCTTTGTTGACCCTAGTCCCCCCTTCAAGTGTTCTTGCAATGTAGAATGATAGTGCATACTCTGTCTCTGTAAAATCAAACACAGCACTTAAAATCTTGACTATATCCAGAAGGGCAGCTATAACACAGTGTGTTGTACTATATTGGATTTTATCTGCATAGTAAGCACTTTAGTACTAGCTTTCACAATGTTTACACTTCTGCTATATATTATGTTTTTGTTTGCCTATGATGATAGTGGTGGTGTTTAATGTAGCTTATTAAGGTCTCTCATATCTTCTCATTATATCCCATATCTCATTAATCATTTTCTGCCAGTAATGGCCCACTCCTACCAATCCTAGTGAACACCTAATGAGTATCAATCTGCAGGATTTGATTGAATTATACATACGTTGGATGCACCGTGGGGTAGTGCTTTGAGGTCAGAAGCCTGCTGGTGGGGCTCACATGCAGTGGGTGAATGTAGTTCACCATGTACGTCTTGCCGCTACAACAGAAAAGTCAGCAAAGAGAGTCCTAATTAGAATTAAAAAAACATGACTCACTCATTCTCAAAGTCAGGCAGCCCATGGCGAATGTTGGCGATCGTGGTGCTCCTGTCGATCGACTGCTGAACACCCCAAAGCTCGTGCGGTACCGATCTGTAAGAAGTGTGAGTAGAAGTTACTACAACTAAAAATGACTCACTTTGAGGCCTTGTCCTTGAGCTTCTGCATGTCGAGAGGCTTAGGCAACACCCTGATAAGCAGTGCAATGTCAGCGAGAGCACCACCAGGTAGCAAGCTAGATAGAGTAACTTACAAGCATTCAACTTTCACTTCCGACAGGTCTATGGTCTGGGTTGACACAGACTTGTGCTTGAGTCTACACAGATGTTAGCAGAGATCTGAGCACTATAAATGAGAAGCTTACGAGAAGCGGGCCTTCTTTGTGGGAGACGTTCTGGAATATGGAAATATGTCAGAAGTGTGTACGAAAGAACAGGAAGAAGATACGTACTTGAGAGCGTCATCACTGCCTTCATCTTCAGAAGACTTGGAGCGCTTGCCTGCCGCCTTGAACACAGATACCAGACTACCACTAGCACGGGAGGCAGTGTCAACCAAGCTGTCAGCTTGCACCTTGACGTTTCTCTTCTTGGTTGGAGTTGAGCTAGAGGGCATAATAAGCACAATATCAAACACGGATTTGAGAATTGTACCTAGTCAAAGGAGTCCTGTCTTTCATCTTGATCGAGGACATCTTGCTTGCAAGCTTCTTGCTTGGTGTGCCACTGGAAAGCATGAGCAATTGTGTTCACTAACAAACTGAATACGTAGAGAAAATCTGGGTTAGAGTCCTCGTCATCAATATCCATATCGTCTTCAGCCCCCCCAGCCGCCTCCAACTCAAATTCAGACATGATGTCATCGTCTGAGTCCTCAGCCTGGGGCCTGAGTTGGGCTGCCTTGCCACGCTTAGTTGGCATCAAGCTGGGAGAATATGTAAGTATACATATGATGTCACAATATACTGAACTTACTGAGTGATGTTTGACTCTGACTTGGTGCGACGCTGCTGACGCCCACGGGGTGTCATAGTGCTAGTACATATGAGTAAGAATGCATGAATATAAAGGCACATTGCTCACATCTCGACCACTGGCTTGGACGCTGAGGGGTGTCTAGGCTTTTGCCTATAACAAAGGTAAGCCAGTGGTTGAGCGTATAAAGGAATAGACTTACGGAGACGGAGACTTTGGAGAGACGTTCAGCTTTCCCATAGAAGGCTTCCTACAGCTGAGCGTGAGCACTAGTAGCACAACTTAAACAAATTACTTACTTCCTAGGTGTCTTCTGATTGTCAGGAACACGCACATGGTAATCGCCATCGTCAGAGGAGATGCCAGCCATCTTCTCAGCCTGCTTGGATTCTCGACGAGCCCTAGCAGCCTGCAGCTCCTTCACCTTCAACCTGAACTTGAAGTAAGCAAGCAGTGTAAGCAAAGTAAATAAGACTCATGAGGTGTCGATCTCGCAGTACTTGTCCTGCTCGGAACCTTCATCCTCTGAAGTCTCAGAGTGGCGATGAACGTCATCAGCCTCGTTTGAAATGAAGCTTTTGGTGATCCTGAAACAAAGTTAGTAACAATAGTGGTCTGAGAAGTGAATGTGCACACCGTTGAACCTCTTTCTCATCCCCAGCCAAAGGTGTAGAATCCTGGTGAGCCTGAGAACGAGTGAGAGTAGGGGAGAGAGAAGGGTTGCGCTTGGTCGTAGCCGAGGCCTTGCGAGATCCAGTGCTACACCTTCCACCGCGACCAGTGCTTTTGGCAGTCTGTCTACCAGACGGAGCAGGCTGCCGCTCAGCCTCATCACCAGAGGCCTGGGGCTTCTGAGGACGACCTTCTTGAGGCTTTTTGATGGTGCTGCAACTGTGAATGAGTATAAAGAATATAAAACACATATGGTAGGCACATACATCGTCAAGGTCTCCTTCGTTTCACCCCCATGATCAGGAGAAGGGGAAGGGGACTCATTGCGCGTGGATGGTACGGGGGAGGAGGCAGCTCGACCACGCTTGGTTGGGGTTACTGTTTTCTTAGACCTATAATAAACGTATCAGCCTGGCATATGCGAATGAAAGGAATCACATACGTGGCAGAGGCGCGAGTCTTGGCCATAGTGAGTGTATAAAGGAGCGGGTATCAGAAAGGAGTGTGATTGGGAGTGATTAGAGGAAGCGAGAATGAGAGCAAGAAAGAGAGAGAGTGTGTGTGGACGACAGCGCGTCTGCCTAGGTTTATATACAGCACTGTGATGCTGTTTATTTGTCCCTTGGTCCGTGCACATCGTCCCACCAGCTCACTCTGAATTTCTCAGCGGTTCCTGAATCCGTCTATGCGGCTATTTAGACTGTCGGCTATATCTGCCAGCACTTGGCTCACTGTTGCATAGTCCCATACAACAGTGACCCTATACAGTTTAGTGACATGTAGCAGAAAGAAGTAGCTCTTGAATGACACCCAACATGCAGAAGAAGGGAGGGAAGACACGGATGGGGCATTGAAAATAAGCAAAGTCCGATGTTGTACCGCTCTTCGGATGAGCTTATCCCGATCAATAATGACGCACCGCCAGAGCACGTTCCAAAGAATCTAGACCGTGCACAAACAAACAGTTGGAAATTCCTGTTCACGTGTTGAGAAGACACTGAGATTAGACGAAAAGGGGATGAAGGGCTCCTCACCTTCAACCAACTATCGCAAACGTCTAATTCACCTCCTCTTTGCTATCCCCTATGCTTTATGCTGCTCAGCTGGCATTAGATGAGGCCAAATACGGTGAGTAGAGAGTTTTTGATTCTGACTTGATCTAATGCGCTTCTGTGTGGTGCAGCGAGAATGCTTAAGCAGGAGATGTAAAGCCTAGTAGAGGCAGAGGCTCCGTACAAGCAGCTTCAGAGCATCAAAGAGGTGAGCTTTGGATTATGCAGCACTGGAACAAATCTCATACCGTGCATGGTAGCCTAGCATTCTCAATGCAATTGGAGAGGTGGTGGACGTGGCAAACGGAGTGCGGATGACGCTCATCCATCAACGAGCGTCTCCTGAAGAGCCTATCGAGGAGCTTATCCTGTCGATCCAAGGATATCTCGTAGAGGCCAATCTCCCTCCTATTCGGAAGATGGAGTGAGTTTTGTGTATTATGATATGTACCTGAGTTCACCTGTCTGCTTCCAGTGTTCCTCGGTCCAATCATCGGATCATTGGTCTTAGCCAGTCAGTCGTTATCTCTGGCCTAGGTGAGGGCCTGTTCCAAGATGCGGTGCAGGGTGCGGTCTGTGTCTACCAAGTCTATCAGTGCCTTATCGAGACTCTTCATGGACGACTTCGAGAGTGGACCCCTTTTGATCGCTCAGACCACCTGGCTATCCAGTTCGGTAACCGTCTTCTGAGTAGGGGAAAGGAGGTTGGAGACGATGAGATTGTGGACTTGGCAGATGTCGTGGACCCCTTCAATGTTCTCCGACCAGCTCTGCGTGATCATGTTCACACTACCGACAATGCAGTTCAGTACTGGGAGCGTACAATGAAGGAGTCCAAGTACGTGCCAGGTTGCTATGAAGCCAACCATAGCTGACGTTGTTTAGGGCAACATACACAAAAATCAAGCCTCACCAGATCAACACCTCAAACCTAGTCGAGCTACAGATCACTTTCACAGTGGTTCACCTTCCCCGACAGGAGTACGTCTTTGTTCCTAAGCTACGTTCGATCTGTGTTCTAGACCGTACTGTCGAGAAGGTGAGTGCTATATGCTGATTCTCACTTGGAGCGTGCTTGCTGATTTGATTATAGGACTTCAATCTAGCTTCAATTGCAGCTTTGACAAAGCGTGCCAAGTCTCCCAGACGTACTTTGAAGCGCAAGGTCGGCTACGGCGACAGCGAGGAAGATGACACAGACTCTGTGTTGAAGCGTATGCGCTTGGACGATAGTGACTTGCAGGACAGCGCAGTTGTATCTCAGACAGATGTGCCTATGGCTGGGTAGAAGATGTAGAGCTGGCATGTGCTTCTTCTAGTGAATTGAGCTTCTCTTCTCGGTGCATGAATGTGAATGTGAACACGTGATTCTTGAATCTGAATATCGACTTGAATGAGAACACGTGATCTTTGAATCTGAATATCGAGAGACTATCGAGAAGCTATCACTGCAGCCATCGTTCCAACCACATCCTATTCATCCACTGCACACATCATGGAGACTGGACTCTTTCCACACACGACCTCTTCTGGCCAGATCCTTAGCAGTCATCGCCAGTGCCAACTCTCTGTATCGGACGTTCGTTGGGACTCCTTGACCTCCTACGGCCTGAGCAAGCTCACACCATCCGTTCTCCGTTGGATTGGCGGCATCAAAACCGATGACCGAGGCATGCTATACCTGGATTGGAACATCCTGATCGCCCTTTGGGAGCGGTACCACCACTTTTATAGCTCCGTAGAAGCCGCCTGTCCCTAGCTTTGACTGTAGAAGCCACCTGTCCCCAGCTTTGACCGTCGATCAGTGGATCAGCTGTTCGGAATCCCAGAAGGGACAAATGGCACAAGTTCGAGAACAAGGGGAATCCTACCACCAAGAGATGGTCAAAGTTCCTCAGCAATGTGGAGAAACTAGGCAAAGTCCCGTTTGAACACCTGTCATGTGAATACCCTGAATTCTGCCCTCATCTCAACGCCGATCCCCATCGCTTTGAGACCAGCCTCTCTCAAGTCCTCTATTGCTTCCACTCCACCTACACCTTCTGCATCCATCTCTGCCTTCCCAGATTTCCATTCCCATTGCGAACCCCTTCCCGAGTCACTCCCCCCGGTTGGAACTATGAGCTCTTCTACGTACAGCCACCCGGTCAGCTCTACTGGGGTCCAATTGAGAAGACGGAGGCAGACTTCCCTCAGAAGTTTCAGCCGAAGAAGCTCCTGAAGCTGGAGGGGGAGGACTACGTTAGGCTTGCCGCCATTCACACGGTTACAAACAAGTGACTCAGAAGGCTGAAGTTGTCGGAGATGGAGGATTGGCGCAAGGAGACAGAGAAGGCCAGGGAGAGAGTTGAAAATTGGGTACACCTGGTGGGCAAGCTTCTTATTGAGCTTCCACTTATCTAGACTAGGTGTAGGATGGAGACCTCTTCAGAGGTTCGTGTTATCTTGCATGAGAAGGATGCTATAGTGCTATTGGACCCTTAGCAGAACGCAAACACTGTATACCAGATCTTCTCTTCAGTGCTTGGAAAGACTTGCAGTGTATGTCATTACGGAAAGTCCTCTGACTGGTTATTTTTTATGGCAAAGTTAAGCCACAGGTCTCTGATGATGGTGTTATATCAGCTGTACTTGTCTCTTCAGTGTAGTGTTACTATAAGGTTGTCTAGCACATACTTGGTCTCTTACACACCATATGTGTATTGTCTCTCATATGTATAAGCTTATGTTGCTTAGATTCAGACTAGAGACAGAATACCAAGCTTGCCACACAAATAGCACACTTGGAGGAGGAGATGGGCGCAAAAACAATGGTGCAAGCAATGGACAAAAGAAACCAGTCCCTAGGGGCCCCAACTGCAAGCACTCTTCCAAATCCCTTGAGAGCGACTGAGCTGATGGGAACAACCTGCCTACTTGGGAATGGCAGGGACAATATAGACACCCAGCCGTATGCTCCAGCATAGGTTCCCCAAGGGAACATGAAAAGGGAGAAAGAGTCAAGTCAGTAAGGTTCAGAAGAGCGCGAAGGCTGCAGCGGACATTGGGCACCTGCTGGACTGCGCTCAACCCACCATCACATGCAGGCACCTGTACACATAGGCTCTCGACCACCACATGACCGCAAGCACAGAGTTTTACTCTCGCTGGTGTCTTAACATCTTCATCAACACAATCATGGTACGACTACTCACACCCTGCACCACATGACGTACTCAACAATCTTGCAGTGCGCCAGTCGTACAGTTGTATCCCTTCAGCCAGTGACAAGTGCTTCTGGTATCTCTGCCCATCTCCCTCCTACCATCTCAGAACAACAACTGCCAACTCGTTTGAGGACAGAGTGTGGTTGTACCACCTCGCCTAGAAAACCACAGCCCCTCCTTCCCTGCACGTACTTTGTATCGTGTCTGGGGTGTGGCTTGCCTAGCAGGTCTGGCTCCTCCTTCAACTCTTCGTTCCGCTCACGGTGGTTCAAAAACCTGCGCTCGGCCGTCCATTTCTCCACATCTCCACTAGTTATCACTTGGCAGTGCCTTCTTCGTACTCTTCCTTCAGTATTCCCTCCTGCCTAACCCATTGGACGACGGGACACTCACAGCATGAGCACAGGTGACAGTGTCTGTATCTCATGCTCTTGTTGCATGAATTCAGATGCTGATTGTTCCATGATTGGCATCTGAGCTCCAACATGTGTGGGAGGGCCAAGACCTGGAGGCTGTAATGCCATGAGCTACTTTTGGACAGTGCCCGCTCTCATCAGCTTTCCTTCGCTCTGCTGCATTGCTCATGCAGTTGGCACCACAATTCCTCGTATGTTGGGAACTTGAAGAGGAGATGACTTCAGTGGAAAGCCAGTTCACACGTAGTTGAAACCGCACAGGGCGACAAGGGGCACAATTTGACATGCTCTCATGGGATGGGCACAAGGGGAAGCGGATCCGACAAACACCCGAAGCACAGAGATGAAGCTTTGACACATATAGCATTGCGGCGTGAAGGAAGGGAAGACTGATATTGCACACGGCATCAGTGTTAGCAAGTATCATAAGAGCTGTCGAGGGTGGCGATACGTTCTCCTCTTACCCCTCATTACACGTACCTTCCGTAAACAATGATGCCTAGCCCATGTAAAGACAGCGAGGACTCGCACCCTCGGCTCTATATCTTAGACAATCGAACTTTTGTCGTGAGTTTCATGTATTGGTCTTTCTGTCCTCTGATACTTATTCGTCACTTAAATGTTCCCCCTCAATGACGGTCTCCTTGAGCAGTCCATGGTGGAGAATGGCACTGCCCTCACCCAGGCCCCAGCAGCCCCCCGAAGGACAACCAGGAGCCCACGGTCATTACGTCTTTGAGCCCCTACCCCACCACAGGAGCTCGACTCAAAAGAGCCCCATCCAGGCTTACGGG